TCGATTTGTTGCTATGTCTTTTATTACCTCACATAGAGTAATAACTAAGTCATAACATTATAATAAGTTATAACATAGTTTTAACTCATTAATACCTTACTCTAAGTTGGAAGTATAATTACTTTTCAGTTATCTAACTGGGATCTGTGATGATGTGTTGGCCTGTGTAAGTGTCAGTTAGTGACACTGAAGCTCTCTCGTTGTCTCTCTGTCTCTGCAGTGTACCGGTCCTGTGGACCTGAGGAGTTTCGCTGTGGGGACGGCCGCTGTCTGCTTAGTGCTCAGTGGGAGTGTGACGGCTGCCCAGACTGTCCTGACCGATCTGACGAGCTGCCCCTGAACCTCAAATGCCTGGCCGCAGGTAGTGTTATTTACTGCTGTTCAAATGCCTGGCTGTAGGTAGTGTAGTCTACTTCTGTTCAAATGCCTGGCCGTAGGTAGTGTAGTTTACTGCTGTAGTGTACTCTGTGCTGTTAGTACAGTCTGGCCGCAGGTACTCTAGTCTACTGCTGTTTGGCTCTCTCTATGAAGCTATCCCTTACTGTCAGCAGTCTACTATAAGAGAGGATAGAAACCACATTCTAAAAAATGCTGGGTTAAGATATGTAATATGGCATGGCTTATTGGGGGCGTGGCTTTCAGATAGTTATTTTTGCCCGTCCGAGATAGTAAATGTCATTCTGCTTCATATGTTATTTTGTGTTGTCAACACATGTTAAGCAAAGACACTTTTGTAGCTGTAATGAGACTTACACAAAAGTATGAGTTCCTCAAGTGCCTGTGCATATCCCAATATTGGGAAAGCTACCACTTTGTCTAAATAATATTGTTGTTAAATGTATGTAAAGATCTGTAATGCGCAAAAAATATTTTAGGAAAATAACAAATTTGCAGTGTACAAACTTAACATGATGAACAGGAATGACATTTACTATCTCGGACGGGCAAAAATAACTATTTGAAAGCCACGCCCCAAATAGGCCATGCCACATTACATATTCTATTATAAAATGTATAACATTATTATTTAAATATTATATAAGAAAGTGGTAACTCTCCCAACATTGGGACATGCATAGGCACTTGAGGAACTCGTACTCTTGGGTAAGCCTCACTAAAGGTCAGAAGGTAGCGTTGCGGTTAAGAGTGTTGGGCCAATAACCGAAAGGTTGCTGGTTCAAATCCCCGAGCCAACTAGGTGAAAAGTTTGTCGACATGCCCTTGAGCAAGGCACTTAACCCTAATTGCTCCTGTAAGTCGCTCTGGATAAGAGCATCAGCTAAATGACTCAAATGTAAACGTGTTAGTACTCAACAAACAGATAACAATACGGGCCTCCCGAGTGGCGCAGTTGTCTAAGGCACTGTATCGCAGTGCTAGCTGTGTCACTAGAGATCCTGGTTCGAGTCCAGGCTCGGTCACAACCGGGAGACCCATGGGGCGGCGCACAATTGGCCCAGCATCGTCCAGGTTTGGGGAGGGTTTGGCTGGCAGGGATGTTCTTGTCCCATCGCGCACCAGCGACTCCTGTAGCGGGCCGGGCACACTGCAAGCTGACACGGTCGCCAGGTGTACGGTGTTTCCTCCGACACATTGGTGTGGCTGGCTTCCGGGTTAAGCGGGCATTGTGTCAAGAAGCAGTGCGGCTCGGTTGGGTTGTGTTTTGGAGGACGCACGGCTCTCGACCTTCGCCTCTCCCGTGTCCGTACGGGAGTTGCAGCGATGGGACAAGACTGTAACTACCAATTGGATAACACGAAATTGGGTAACAATATAACAGACAGATGAACCGGAATGACATTTACTCTCACGGGTGTCCAAAAAGAACTATCTTAAATCCATGCCCCTACTAAGCAAAACCTACAGTCTTCTGCTCTGACCTGGTGAGTCATAGTTCAACGACCCAACTGTTTTTTTTCAAAATAACCCAATGTGTGTTCTGCCCAATATTTACCCAAATTGGTTTGTTTTTCACTGAGCATTTTTTTGAGTGCAAAGATATAAAGACAGTCAGAGTAAAACTTTCCGAATAGCATTAATCTAAGTGAATCTCATTTACCGCAATGCAGGTTAAATTATTACTATTGTAAATGCTTTTTGCCTCACCATTAACAGTTATAAATTACCTTCCAGGGAGTCTGTGCAACGGTTCCTTCTTCATGTGTTCCAATGGACGCTGCATCTCTGAAGGGAGTCTGTGTGACAAGAAAGACGACTGTGGAGACCGGTCCGATGAGAAGAACTGCAACGTGAACGAGTGTCTTAATCGCAGAGTCAGTGGCTGTACACAGGACTGTCAGGATCTTCCTGTTGGATACAAGGTAGGAATAACCACTCTCTGGCCTTGATGGGTAACTTGGACAACTGCACATGTGTCGTATACTCAGAATCATAATCAAGGTTAGGTTGTCTTTCCTAGGGTTTTATGAATTCTAGTTATCCCGTCTTTATTTCAGCCAGAGACAGATTGGTAAGTGGACAGTCATCACCCGCTAGAAGGCTTACAGATATTACCAATAATAATTTAGCCAGAACAAAATAAATGTTTTAAATATGTACATGCAGAATCTGACTTTAATCAAGAAAACGTTATTGTTTCTGTATGTTTTGTATTAAGAAGCCTATAACACGGACCTGGTAAAGTGCCAACATTATTATCTCAGTGTGCATGATTCAAATGATTGATTATGTTGTGGCTGAGGCTATATTAGGCTTTCCCACACAATACAGAAAGACAAACACAATCATGCTATCACAGGCAATCCAATACAGAGTCAAGTTATAAACACAGTACAGTAGGATCCTATCATCATTAGGGACGATACCAGCAAGGCCGTGACGATACCAGCATCGCGATACTCATTAGTATCCTGTCAAGGAAACGACTTTAACAAACGACTTTAACTTCTTTATGAAAACAGCCCTAATGTTGGAAACAAACATCATTATGTTGTCATCTAGAGTAACATGTATTTCTTTTCAAAGCTATAGTTGGACAGGAAAAGGCGCAACGTTCATTCACCATGTAAAATGTGTCGTTTGGTTAGACAAGTTTAAAATATTGAGGTTTCGGCCTTCAATGGCCTTCTTCAGAATACTATAGCGCACAATATTTTACAGCAAGTTTTTAAAGGACCAAAGAGTTTGGTCTGCTTCTTGTTTGTAAAGGAAAAAATATTGCGATACTGGTATCGTCCCGGCCCTAATCATCATCTTGAACACAGACCTATGCTATGGATACAAGCGATGAAAGATGAGAAAATGGTTTCGAGAGGCTTCCATGCCAGCTGTTTGTTTGCTGGGATCCTTGGCGACAGGCAGGCAGGCTCCAGAGAGAGAGGTTGCATCACAAATCAAAAGAAAACAAACAATTACCATCAAAAACTAAAAACCTAATGCATTCAATCAAATAACATTTAACAATCATCAGTCAGTCAATCAGTCATGGTTGGTCTGGTGGAGTGGTTAACGGTGTGTTTGTGTCTTTGTGTTGGGGGAGGGGAAGGCGTGGGGTCTGAGCTGGCAGTTGCTGGAGGAAGTTGGCAGTTGTGGTTGTTCGGTGCTGTACCAGGGCTGGAAAACCAGGGGTTGGTGCTGGGTCTGATGCTAGGACTGTGGGCCAGGGAGAAAAACAGGAACCGGGGCTGGATCTGTAGAGGGGAGGAAGGACAACCTGAGAAGCAAGCAGACACACAAGGGAACCCTAGACCCAGAGGTGGTACTTCCCTGTGGCCTGCTCGCTCCAAGTAAAGGTGTGATCTTTGTGTCACATCTGGCGGTCTGGTGCTGGGACTGGCCAATGGGATCTGGATTACAACACTTCCACTCACGGGTAGCCAAAAATAACTAAGTGAAAGCCACACCCCCACTAAACCATGCTTCTAATATAATTTCCCAGTGTGTCTTGCCTTTTCGAGTCAATTGTAGAGTTACCACCCACGACTGTATTTGTTAGTGACAGGGACATGGTCTCAACAACCATGGTAACTACAATTCAAAAGGCAAGGCACTGGGAAATATTAAAATAAAGTTTTACACTAAGCAGTGTCTTAATTTTACACTGGTTCCAGTGTGTATATGGTCCAACTCTTTCAGTGTTGATTTAACCCGTGGTGTAAAATACTTAGCTATTTATTTTTATTTTACCCTTATTTTACCAGGTAAGTTGACTGAGAACACATTCTCATTTACAGCAACGACCTGAGGAATAGTTACAGGGGAGAGGAGGGTGGATGAATGAGCCAATTAGAAGCTACTTTAAAATACTACTTAAGTAGTTTTTTGGGGTATCTGTACTTTACTATTTATATTTTTGACAACTTATACCTTTAATTCACTACATTCCTAAAAAAAAGAAAATCATGTACTTTTTACTCCATACATTTTCCCTGACACCCAAACATACATGCTTAGCATGACTGGAAAATTGTACAATTCATATACTTCTCAAGAGAAGATGCCTGGTCATCCCTACTGCCTCTGATCTGGCTGATTTGGAGTGTGCCCCTGGCTATCGGTAAATACAATAAAAAGAAAATGGTGCCATCTGGTTTGCTTAATATAAGGAATTTGAAATGACTTATACTTTTGATACTGAAGTATATTTTAGCAATTACATTTACTTTTGATCCTTAAGTATATTTAAAACCAAACGCCGTTAGAATTTTACTCAAGTAGTATTTTACTGGGTGACTTTCACTTTTACTTTAGTCATTTTCTATTAAGTTATCTTTACTTTTACTCAAGTACTCAAATTGGATACTTTTTCCACCACTGGATTTAGCACTGGAGAATTTGCTGTGTAGAGTTAAGTGAGTGTTGTTAAAAGACAATCAAGGCACAATTGAATAATGCAGCTGAATGTCCGTCTGTCTCTGCAAAGCATTTTACTGTATCGACCAGCTGCTGCAATATCTTGAGTAAATGGAATATAGACTATTATTTGTTACAGTTGTCTAGACTAAAAATGCTTCAGAACTTGTTTGTTTGTGTGATGTCAGTGCAAGTGTTGGCCTGGATTCCGGCTGAAAGATGATGGGAAAACGTGCGTGGACGTTAACGAATGTTCCTCCAGCCTACCCTGCAGCCAGCGTTGCATCAACACGTACGGCTCCTTCAAGTGTATGTGTGTGGATGGCTACGAAGCCCTGGAGCGAAACCCCAACACCTGCAAGGCTCTCTCAGGTAAGGCTATTCACATGTCTTGGCAGCAAGCTTGTACTGTAATATACTGCAGTCCGTCTGAATAATTCACTAGTGATGTACAGTATTTTACATAATTTCAATTGATGTTCAAGTGGTGTTCAAAAAGATGTTTACCTACGTGTATATTTAGAAATGTCGAACTTGTACTGTAGTATACTGGTACTGTAGTCTGATCAGGGCCGGCTTAATGCAGGGGCTTACCGGGGCTGAAGCCCCTGGGCCCAGGCCCGTGGAGGCCCAAGAGGCAGTATATACTGCAACCGCCAACCACAGGAGGATTCAGGAGCCTACTCATATGCGTGAGCGCTGTCAAATCCCCAGGCGACACCGAAGCAGACATTGCCATTTTTCTTTATTTTGACTATTTTCTACATTGTAGAATAATAGTGAAGACATCAAAACTATGAAATAACACATATGCAAAAAAGTGTTAAACAAATCAAAATATATTTTATATTTGAGATTCTTCAAATAGCCACCCTTTGCCTTGATGACAGCTTTGCACACTCTTGGTATTCTCTCAACCAGCTTCACCTGGAATGCTTTTCCAACAGCCTTGAAGGAGTTCCCACATATGCTGAGCACTTGTTAGCTGCGGTCCGACTCATCCCAAACCATCTCAATTTGGTTGCGATTGGGGGATTGTGCAGCACTCCATCACTCTCCTTCTTGGTAAAATAGCCCTTACACAGCCTGGAGATGTGTTGGGTCATTGTCCTGTTGAAAAACAAACGATAGTCCCAGTAAGCCCAAACCAAATGGGATGGCGTATCGCTGCAGAATGCTGTGGTAGCCATGCTGGTTAAATAAATCACAGACAGTGTCACCAGCAAAGCACCCCCACACCATAACACCTCCTCCTCCATGCTCTACGGTGGGAAATACACATGCAGAGATCATCCGTTCACTGCACCGCGTCTCACAGAGACACAGCGGTTGGAACCAAAAATCTCAAATTTGGACTCCAGACCAAAGGACACATTTCCACCGGTCTAATGTCCATTGCTCGTGTTTCTTGGCCCAAGCAAGTCTCTTCTTCTTATTGGTGTCCTTTAGTAGTGGTTTCTTTGCAGCAATTCGACCATGAAGGCCTGATTCACACAGTCTCCTCTGAACAGTTGATGTTGAGATGTGTCTGTTACTTGAACTCTGTGAAGCATTTATTTGGGCTGCAATTTCTGAGGCTGGTAACTCAAATGAACGTATCCTCTGCAGCAGAGTTAACTCTGGGTCTTCCATTCTTGTGGCGGTCCTCATGAGAGCCAGTTTCTTCATAGCGCTTGATGGTTTTTGCGACTGCACTTGAAGAAACTTTCTAAGTTCTTGAAGTTTTCCGTGTTGACTGACCTTCATGTCTTAAAGTAATAATGGACAGTCGTTTCTCTTTGCTTATTTGAGCTTTTGTTGCCATAATATGGACTTGATCTTTTACCAAATAGGGCTATCTTCTGTATACCCCCCCTACCATGTCACAACACAACTGATTGGCTCAAACACATGAAGAAGGAAAGACATTCCACAAATTAACTTTTAAGGAGGCACACCTGTTAATTGAAATGCATTCTGGATAACTACCTCATGAAGCTGGTTGAGAGAATGCCAAGAGTGTGCAAAGCTGTCATCAAGGCAAATGGTGGCTATTTGAAGAATCTCAAATATAAAATATATTTGAATTTGTTTAGCACTTTTTTGGTTACTACATGATTCCATGTGTTATTTCATAGTGTTGATTTCTTCACTATTGTTCTACAATGTAGAAAATACTAATAATAAAGAAAAACCCTTGAATGAGTAGGTGTTCTAAAACTTTTGACCGGTAGTGTACATGTAACTGCCAAAATAAAGGACACACCAACATAAAGTGTCTTAAAAGGGTGGTGGCCACCTTGAGCTGCCAGAACAGCTTCAATGAGCCGTGGGATAAATTCTACAAGTTGACCTAAACCATGCCAGGAAAATGCACCCCACACACCATAATATAAACTTTGTGTTCCTCATTTACTCATGTGTTTCGTTTATTTTGGCAGTTACCGGTTGCCTACAGTCGGGAAGGCCGCAATTTGGGCAGCACGCACGCCAAATATACAGCTTGTTGCATTGTGGCCATAGACATATAATCCATAGAAAGGTTTTGGAACCTCTTACCCTGGCAATTGGAATGTTAAACTCATGGGTACACTAGCAATGCCTGCCAGTCCTGATTTGAATGGGAACTGCCATCTATGGATTGTATTTCTATGGCTGTCTTTTGCAAATTTCAAAATACAATTGTGGGAAAAACGTACAGTTTGGAAAGCAAATGTCTACAGCTGAAAAGAAAAGACTAATCTGTCCGTAGAACCAATAGAAAAACAAATTCTCAACAACTCCCAATTTTTTGAGAACAGCAGCACTGTTGTTCAAAGTAGCTCACCTTGAGATAGGCTAATGCCACGATGAGCGCGTCGGCCATCACCATGAGTAGGAGCCTTTGGCTTCATCTTTATTATTAGGTGAGTCAATATGACACTGGAAATTGTATTTAATAGCCTACTGTAGCCTGTTATATGAGTTAATGTATTCTAAATGACGTAGAATTGCATGAGTCTGATGGAATAGTTCCAATGAAAGAAATGTTGACCTTATTCTAAAGGATGTTTATGGTTATGTTCTCTTCCTTTCAGTGGAGGAACCTTTTCTTGTACTGGCAGATCATCATGAAATCCGGAAACTAAGTGTGGATGGATCAAATTACACAATTTTGAAACAGGTAAGAGGAAACCTTATATCTACACAAGTGGTAGTATTTGTTTTAAACTGAACCAAAATATGCATAGGAATCGTAGTATGTCTGTCACTCTGTTTTGGCAAGGTAAGACCAACTCAGGGTAAAATGACAGAAACCAGAAAATCAAGTGAATGCAATTAGATCTGTAACCGTAGCTGGTTTGCATATATTTACCACTGTCAGTCAGATGACCTTGCTACTACTCTGCCGTGTTGCATTTAGTTTCCATTAAACAATTGTACATTTGTGGTCTAAGGCACTGCATCGCAGTGCTAGCTGTGCCTCTAGAGATCCTGGTTCGAGTCCAGGCTCTGTCGCAGCCAGCCGCGACCGAAAGACCCATGGGGCGGCGCACAATTGGCCCAGCGTCGTCCAGGTTAGGGGAGGGTTTGGCGGGCAGGGATATTCTTGTCCCATTGCGCACTAGCGACTCCTGTGGCGGGCCGGGCGCAGTGCACACTGACACGTCGCCAGGTGTACGGTGTTTCCTCCGACACATTGGTATGACTGGCTTCCGGGTTAAGCGGGCATTGTGTCAAGAAGCAGTGCAGCTCGGCTGGGTTGTGACTCGGAGGACGCACACCTCTCCCGAGACCGTACGGGAGATGCAGCGATGGGACAAGACTGTAACTACCAATTGGATACCACGAAATTGGGGAGAAAAATAGGTAGAATAAAATTTCTAATTTTACACATTTAGCAGATGTTCTTATCCAGAGTGACATACAATTAGTGCATTCATCGTAGACCTTTCCTGCAGTCAAGTAGTGGCCTCATGGGTTGAATGTTGATATTTTTCATAATTAATAAACATTTTTAAAAATTGAATCGCCAAAAATTCGGTGTTTCTATGTCAAACAGTTTTGTTATATTTCAGTCTTCTGTGATGCATATAAAGTGTAATATTGGGATGCAAACTCAACATGTAATACATTTCAACTCTATATCTGACATGGTACAGGTGTTTTCTTTTTTCTAAGCCCATAACGATGTGTGTGAGGTGCATACTTTTGTTTAAAAGTAGATATGTTTAAGACTACCAAGAAACACTCTGTGCGACCCTTATTTATCCCACTACAATAAAAGGTTAAAACACTGTACACAGTTGATAATATAACATTTGAAATGTCGGTCCTGCTTTAAATGACATTCAGCTTATAAAGGCTTCATAAAGCCTTCATAAGCACTACGTAAATGTGTTACAAAGCATCTATAACCGTATGTCATGCTTTGTAAAGGGTTCATACATGTGGCATAACTGTGTCAAATGTGACATAACCCACTATGTTGAATATGATATAAACATGTGTTTTATAAAGGTCATTTTATTTGTTTATATGGCAGTTGTGGTTCAGTGCTGTGTCCAGGGTTGGTGCTGGTGTTGTGGCTTGGACTGGGAAAAACTGTGTTGGTACTGGAAGCCGTGCTGGGGCCGAGTCGGAATCTGTAGAGGGGAGAAAGGACAACCTATGGAGCAAGCAGACACACAATAGAGTCCTAGACCCAGAGGTCAAATGTTGCACTTCCCTGTCGTCCACTCGCTCCAGGTGGAGGTCTGTGCTTTAATAAGGGTGACATGTTGTGCTGAAGGATGGCACACGCTCTAAATTGAATTCATGTTAGTCACATTACACCTAATCTCATTCCCATACACTTCCAGCCACATGCGCGGAAGGTCTGGTGGACCAACACATCAAACTTGGTATTCATCAGTTTACATTTTAGTCATTTAGCAGACGCTCTTATCCAGAGCGACTTACAGTTATTATTTTTGTATTTAAAAAAAAATCATACTGGCCCCCCGTGGGAATCGAACCCACAACCCTGGCGTTGCAAACGCCATGCTCTACCAACTGAGCTATATCCCTGCCGGCCATTTCCTCCCATACCCTGGACGATGCTGGGCCAATTGTGCGCCGATTCGAACCAGGATCTCTAGTGGCACAGCTAGCACTGCGATGCAGTGCCTTAGACCACTGCGCCACTCGGGAGACGGTTAGTTAGGGTTAGGTTTCAAATCTAATTTTAAGAAGAGAAAATGTTGGAAATGAAAGGGTTTAGTCAAATTATGACTTTGTGGCTGTGTTAACTAGTGTCGACCAGGGGGAACGATGACAAATACTTTACTCAGTAAGGTCACTCCCATAGAATTCTATGGTCACTCCCACTAAGGACAACTTTGAATGGTTGGGGACGACATTACACCAAGAAACACTTACCTTGATGAAAGCCCCCAACATAAGGAAATTGAAAGTGGTGTTCTTCTGGAACCAAGTCAACCATGTTCCTCAGTACACAAACACGCACACAACAATATAACGAGGGAATGGGAACAGAAGAGGAATGAATACCTGGTGCGGTAGTCTCAGGTTCGACTACTCCTAGTCTTGGCTCTGACAGACACACACAAACACAAGCTTTGCAGGTCCATCAAACTCATTTAAATACTTTTTTTTTTTTACCTTTATTTAACCAGGTAAGCCAGTTGAGAACAAGTTCTCATTTACAACTGCGACCTGGCCAAGATAAAGCAAAGCAGTGCGATAAAAACAACAACACAGAGTTACATATGGGGTAAACAAAACATAAAGTCAAAAATACAAACAGAAAATATATATACAGTGTGTGCGAATGGAGTAAGTTATGGAGGTAAGGCAATAAATAGGCCATAGTGCAAAATAGGGTGGGGGTGGCATGGGCAAGTTGCAGCGGAGGGTGCAGAGCCGGTGGCCGGGGTAGTGGTACCCAGGTGGAAAGCATGGCCAGCCGTAGCAAAATGCTTGTTGAAATTCTCAATTATTGTAGATTTATCGGTGGTGACAGTGTTTCCTAGCCTCAGTGCAGTGGGCAGTTTGGAGGAGGTGCTCTTATTTTCCATGGAATTTACAGTGTCCCAAAACTTTTTGGAGTTAGTGCTACAGGATGCAAATTTCTGTTTGAAAAAGCTAGCCTTTGCTTTCCTAACTGATTGTGTATATTGGTTCCTGACTTCCCTGAAAAGTTGCATATCACGGGGGCTGTTCGATGCTAATGCAGTGCGCCACAGGATGTTTTTGTGCTGGTCAAGGGAAGTCAAGTCTGAAGAGAACAAGGGGCTATATCTGTTCTTAGTTCTGAATTTTTTTGAATGGGGCATGCTTATTTAAGATTGAGAGGAAAGCACTTTTAAAGAACAACCAGGCATCCTCTACTGACGGAATGAGGTCAATATCCATCCAGGATACCCGGGCCAGGTCAATTAAAAAGGCCTGCTCGCTAAAGTGTTTTAGGGAGCTTTTGAAATTGATGAGGGGTGGTCGTTTGACCGCGGACCCATTACGGACACAGGCAATAAGGCAGTGATCGCTTACAAATGGACGTATACACAAAAAAAAAAAATGTATGCACGCATGACTGTAAGTCGCTTTGGATAAAAGCGTCTGCTAAATGGCATATTTATTTTTTTTTTTTTTTTTTTTTTATCGCTGAGATCGTGGTTGAAGACAGCGGAGGTGTATTTAGAGGGTACATTTGTCAGGATGATATCTATGAGGGTGCCCATGTTTACAGATTTAGGGTTGTACCAGGTAGGTTTGTTGATAATTTGTGTGAGATTGAGGGCATCTAGTTTAGATTGTAGGTTGGCCGGGGTGTTAAGCATATCCCAGTTTAGGTCACCAAGCAGTACGAACTCTGAGGATAGATGGGGGGCAATCAGTTCACATATGGTGTCCAGGGCACAGCTCGGGGCTGAGTGGGGTCTGTAGCAAGCGGCAACAGTGAGAGACTTATTTCTGGAAAGGTGGATTTTTAGAAGTAGAAGTTCAAACTGTTTGGGCACAGACCTGGATCGTACGATAGAGCTCTGCAGGCTATCTCTACAGTAGATTGCAACCCCACCCCCTTTGGCAGTTGTATCGATAAGGAAAATGTTGTATTTGGGGACTGAAATTTCTGATTTTTTTGTGTTTTTCCTTAAGCCAGGATTCAGACACTGGTAGGACATCAGGGTTGGCGGAGTGTGCTAACGCAGTGAATAACTCAAACTTAGGGAGGAGGCTTCGGATGTTAACGTGCAAGAAACCAATGCTTTTACGGTTACAGAAGTAAACAAATGATAACGACTGGGGAGTAGAAGTGATACTGGGGGCTACAGGGCCTGGGTTAACCTCTACATCACCAGAGGAACAGAGGAGGAGTATAATAAGGATACGGCTAAAGGCTTTAAGTACTGGTCTTCTAGTGTGTTGGGTACAGAGAAAAAAAGGGGCAGGTTTCAGGGCGTTGTAGAATAGATTCAGGGCATTATGTACAGAAAAGGATATGGACGGATATGAGTACAGTGGAGGTAAACCTAAGCGTTGGGTAACGATGAAAGAGAGAGCATCACTGGAGGCACCGATTGAGTCGATCTCCGCGTGTATGGGGGGTGGGACAAAGGAGCTATCTATGGCAGGTTGAGCTGGGCTGGGGGATCTACAGTGAAATAGTACAATAAGAAATAACCAAAACAGCAATAAGCAAGGCATATTGACATGGGAGAGAGGCATAAAGCAATTACAGGTGTTATTCGAGAGAGCTAAGACAACAGCTGGTAATGGCGACAAAGTGTGGGCTGAGGCTAAACATAAACAGGATGTGGTACCGTATAAAGGAACAGTCCAGCAGGCATTAGCTGTATAGCTGAGTTATCATAAGGTCCGGTGGACAGCAATAGGAGAGTTCGGAGGTAGTTCGGGGGCTGCTATAGCACTGGCGAGCAAGAGGCCACGGCTAGCATGTGCTAGCGGGCCGGGGCTAGCAGATGGATCTTCGTGGTCGACTTCGTAACGGGAAACCTGTTGTAATCGCATCAGACGATTTCGTCGGCAGACCAGTCGTGTTGGATCGGCGGGGCTCCGTGTCAACACTAGGAGGTCCCGTCCGGTTGACAGAGAGGTAGATAGCCGGGAGAAGGGCCTGGCTCGCGGCTAGCTCGAGGCTGATTAGCCAACAACAACGTCCATTTGATTGCAGCTATCTAGCTACGATGATCCGGTGTTAAAGGTCCAGTG